GCAATTGTTTGATATGTCACTACTTTTTTAATATATAGGTTTGCCTTTTTCTTTCTTGGAATTTATTTAAAGAAATTCTGTAATAGGGCTTTTCACAGTCTGGATATTGCTAGATATATTCCATGGTGTCCTTATATTCTTCTGCGCTCTATACTTCATTCAAATTGGTAGTTGAAGCCAGATATTTAAACAGATTCAAATTTGATTTTCTGGCAAGAATACTTTATAGGTTGTATAGTGTTATTTTATCAAAGGGTAGATAAATCATGTTTAGTTGTCTGCCTTTAGTTGATTAGGGTGAGAAAATGGTGATACTAAAATTCTTAATTCCTTTCTTCATTTTTCCTGTGTCCTTTTTTCCTTTCTACCGTTACCATTTAAGCATCTTGCTTGATTGAAATGGGAAAAGCACACACAACAACAACAACCAGAAAAATGGCTTTTCTACATTTCCACCTCTTTCTGAGATATTTACTTACAGTATCATCTTTAATTCCTCTCTTTGTACTATCAGCCCACTTAAATATGGTTTTTGCCATGTTAAAATCATGTCCCTACCATTTTACTAAATTCATGCCCATCAAAGCTATCAGTGAGCTTTTACTTAATGGAACAATGGGAAGTCTTTAGGTGAAATCATTCTCATTTTTACAGTGAAGAATGGACCAGAAAGACTGGAAGGGAAGAGACCAGATAGGAGGCTTGCAGTACCAAAGATGATAGATGATAGGGATTCACACTAGTATAGCAGCAATATATGGAGAATTAGATAAATTTATTTACCAGGAAAATCTTACAAGGTTGGTGACTAGATGTAGGCAAGAAAGTGAGAGAAAAGTCAGCCAAGGAGTTTAAGGTAATTAGGACAAATTGTAAAAGACCTAAGCTTGTTTTGTGATCAAACCCCTGCTAACCTGTTCAGTTTCATCCTGAGTCATCACCCGGTGTGGTAACACTTGTCACACTTTTCACAATGTTTCAATTGCTCATTCTTGGACTACTCTTCCAGTAGACTGTAACTTCTTGACTGTAACTTCTTGAGTGTAAACACCAAGTTTCCCCCCTCGTTTAACCTGGTGCTTGGCACATACATAGTACCTATTTTGCATATGTTTGCTGAATTGATAAATTAATTTATGCAGTGGTTGAGAATCAACCTATGAACTAGCAGGTCATGGTGCGATTCTGGTTGGGCCATATACCTGAGTTGTGGGCTCAATTTCTAATGTGGGGCATGCAGGAGACAGCTCATCAATGATTCTCTCTCATCATTGATGTTTCTATCTTTCTTTCCCTCTCCCTTCTTCTCTCTGAAATCAATTGAAAAAAACAAAACAAAAAATTTTTAACTTATGCAACAGTACATCGGTATACATACCGTGATTTGTTTACCGTATGTCTTGTTTTTATTGTTACTAGATCATCCCTGTATTCTGGTACTGCTAATTTTGTACATTAATTTGCTTTTTTGGTAAGAAGCATTCTCTCCATAATTAGACCTTGTAATGTACATACATAGTGGATTTTTGCATATTCCTTTTTTCACTTTGATTTATATTAATTTTCTGTCAGTGTATTATCATTGTCCCAGTTAATAGAAACCTTAGACAGTTCAAATAATCACCACCATCAAATTATTCTTACCCTATTGTGACCTTTGTCGGAGTGTATGAGACGCTAGATGCTTTAACTTGGTAACAATTAAGGGTTAGAAAAGTGAGGCTTAAATAACTAGGAATTATTAAATAACAAAGAGGGATAGTTTTCTGGATTGTCCACTGAGTTTGGTTCTCAATCCCCTAATTTGTTACTAATTTATTGGTGATTTAGACATCCTAGTAGTGGTAGTGATGGTTCTTAGCTGTCATTTTGAGCTAGCTTGCCTTCAGGTCAGAATCACTAAAAACAAGAAAATCCCTGATTATATTTACTAGAATTGCTCAATGGAGAAGGATCTCCATTTAAATGGAAGCTGCCATTGGGACTATCTGAGCGATCACTTTGTGATTCAGGACTTATATTTAAAACCTGGGTTTGCTCATTTTTACTGGACTAGCTTATATATCACTGTATCCTTGGTCCCTGGAATAATGCTTACTAAGGCTTGAAAAATGTATTAGAAAAATGCTCTTTGTCTTCTCTGTCCATGTTTTGTCTTTTGATATATTGATGGAAACAGAGAACCTCTATTACAGTGATTCTCAACCTTTCTAATGCCGGGACCCTTTAGTCCAGTTCCTCATGTGACCGCCCAACAAGAGAACTGGATTATAGGGTCTCGGCATTAGAAAGGTTGAGAACCACTGCTCTATTAGATGTTAATTTAATTTCATTTAGAGAAAGATTTTCTATTTCTTTAAAGTGTCCCTTCCAATTGAATTTTGTATATACCAGTTCTCTGGATTTTAAGAAAGATTGCCTTAGATATATTTCTTAAATACAATAAAAATTCTACCCAGCTATTTTTGTACATGATAAGAGAAACTTTTTTTAAAAGAATAATTCTTTGCCAAAACCGGTTTGGCTCAGTGGATAGAGCATCGTCCTGCAGACTGAAAAGTCCCAGGTTCGATTCCGGTCAAGGGCATATACCTTGGTTGTGGGCTCATCCCCAGTAGGGTGTGTGCAAGAGGCAGCTGATCGATGATTCTCTTTCATCGATGTTTCTAACTCTCTGTCCCTCTCTCTTCCTCTCTGTAAAAAAATCAATAAAATATATATTTTTTTAAAAAGAATAATTCTTGAATAAAGCTTGGTTTTTCTTACTTTTACATTTACTCTAATCACAATGCATTGATTTTATAGTGTTATAAGTATAAAGACAGGGCTCTGAAATACTAATATCTAAAAACTAGATTAGAGAATTAGATTACTATCACTACATAAAATTTAGGGTGTAGTTCATTCAGTTTTTTATTTATTTATTTATTTATTAATATATTTTATTGATTTTGTACATAGAGGAAGGGAGAGAGATACAGAGTTAGAAACATCGATGAGAGAGTCATCGATCAGCTGCCTCTTGCACACCCCCCACTGGGGATATGCCCGCAACCAAGACACATGCCCTTGACCGGAATCGAACCTGGGACCCTTCAGTCCCCAAGCCGACACTCTATCCACTGAGCCAAACCGGTTTCGGCTATTTTTTTTATTTTTAAAACATGCTTCTAAAGGACACAAAATAAAAATAATATTAACTTATTTCTTAATTACATGTATTAAGAGCATTAGTTTACTAAATAGTTTATTTACATTGTAAATATCAGGTATTCTAAGACTATTGGTGACATATATTTATTTATTTTTTTAATCTTATAGGTTACTTAGGTTGGTACTTTTTAGTACTTTATAAAATCATCTGTCATACCTTTTTCACATTATAGATTTTGTAAATTAGAACCTTTTATTTATTTTTTGGTCTTTTTTAAAAATTAAATTTATTGTAGTGACATTGGTCAATATGAACATATAGGTTTAAAGTGTGGTTTCTATGTTACAAAATCTGGATATTGCACCATGTGCCCACCACCCAAAGTCAAATCTTTTGTCACCCTGTGACACCCTTCTCTCCCCCTTCCCTCTGGCAACCTCTACAGTGCTGTTTGTGTTCATGAGTTTCAGTTTTATATCCCATACTAGAGGCCCAGTGCATGGATTTGTGCACTGGTGGGGTCCCTTGCCTGGCCTGGGGGGATCAGCCGAAACTTGCGGTCTGACATCCCCTGAGGGGTCCCGGATTGCGAGAGGGTGCAGGCATGTTTCCATGCCTGTGCATTGAATGTCTGCCCCCTGGTAGTCAGTGTGCATCAAATGGTTGCTTAGGCTTTTATATATCTAGATATGAGTGAAATCATATGGTTCTTAGCCTTTTCTGACTGACTTATTTCCCTTAGCATAATGTTCTCAAGATCCATCCATGTTATTGCAAATGGCACTATTTCATCCTTTCTTCTGGCTGAATAGTATTCCATTTTATATGTGTACCACATCTTTATTATTTTACTTTAAGTGAAAATTAAAGTCTTCTAGAGAATTTATACGTTTTGTTTTTTTTAACAATATATTTTTATTGATGTCAGAGAGTCAGGGAGAGGAAGAGAGGGATAGAAACATCAATGGTAAGAGAATCATTAATTGGCTGCTTCCTGTACACTCCCTATAGATGATTGAGCCTGCATCCTGGGCATCGAACCACAACCCAGAGTTGACACTTAACCATTGTGCCACGTTGGCCAGGCAGAGAAGTTATATGTTAATATTTGAAATTTAATAAAATTAGTATCAAAATCTGGGGGGTGACTGGTAGGACTGGGTAAATTTAAAAATAGTGCTTCTCTAGCCAGTTTGGCTCAGTGAATAGTGTGGGCCTTCCGACTGAAGGGTCCTGGATTAAATTCCGGCCAAGGGCATGTGCCTGGTTGCAAGTTTGATCCCCAGCCCTGGGGGGGTGCATGCAGAAGGCAGCAAATCGAGGTCTCTCTCACATCAATGTTTCTCTCTTTCTGTCTCTCCCACTCCTTTCTGTTCTCTCTAAAAATCAATGGAAAATTATCCTCAAGTGAGGATTAACAAAAAAGTAAATAATAAATAAAAATAGTGCTGAAAGCTATTAAAGATCATTTAAAATGCATAAAATACTACAAATTTTTGGCATTGATTTTCATAGTAGGTTGAAAATATCACCTAATATTCATATTAGCATCACAATAAACCTCATCATTGAAAGTGTGTTGTATTGCAAGTAATAATTTAGAAGTCATATAAATTCTAAATGAAAGAAATAATCTCTTTTCTCTTTTTCCTTAGGTGGAATGAATCTAACTTGCTGAGTATCTCCTGGTTACTGGTTGAATTCACTTATAAAAGAATCATCTTCCTCTGCGTGGAAGTCACTTAGTGGAATATTTAATTACAAATCCAGGGATTGCAAAGCCTTTTGATTTCCCAAAGGAAGGGGACATACCACTATATCAAATAAGCTTGACATTACAGCCAAAATGGTGCTGTCCCAAAGACAACGAGACGAACTGTAAGTTTCTCTGTTGTGTGTGTGTTAAAATATTCTCTCATAAAGGACAAAGTAGTAAATTAAAATACAGCTTTCGGAGATCTACTTTCATATTAAAACTATTGTTAGGAGTGTTCAAATATTGATGTGGACATTTACGTCTGATTTTAAAACCGGATCTTTGATAACACTATTTTCTATTGTGACCTTATTGTGTATAAATTTAAATCAAATCAAGTTAAGTTGGGATAAGTTTGATCTCAGGTTTGTCTTAAGTATATTATTATGTTCATTTGGAAGGTAGATGCTTCAAAACACTTCTAAATTATTTTGTCTGGAACCATGTATTAGGAAAATGAAAGCTTTTTTGTTGTTACTGCTAAGGCCTTTTCTTTGCCTTATTGTATTTTTTATCATCCTTTGGCTCTTATGGGATTTGAACTTTATGATGTGGCTAAGATGATAGTTAATGCAAATGCATTAACTAGATAGACATGAAAACAATTTGATCGTTGCTATATAGGATTTTATAGCATTCTATTTTTGTATGTAAAGAATATAGTAAGAAATATTTAGTTTTGTGTTCTAGGCTTTTAAAATTTCCTGTGGCTTTTTAAAAAACTATAATTGGGAATAATTTCAAATTTATAGCTTAATAAAATTAGTACAAGGAATATTTATATACATTTTATCCAAATTCGCCTATTGGTAACATTTTGTATCATTTGCACTCTGTAACTCTGTGTGTATGTGGGTAAGGGTGTGTGTGTATAGAGAGAGTAAGTTGCATACATCAAGGTCCTTTCTTTGAGATACATTAGTACACAGTTCCTAAGAATAAGGATATTCTTGTATAAAACCAAGTACAGTTAGCAATTTCAGTAAATTTAAGACTTTTAAACAATACTTATATTTAATCTCTCTTCCATACTTGAATTTTGTCAGTTGACCCAATAATGTCCTTTATGGCAATATTTTAATCCTCTCCAGTATACCATCCAGCCCAGGATTAGGTATTGTGGTCAGTTGTCAAAGTGTCATTTAATCTGAAACATTTCCTCACCCTTTCTTGCTTCAAAGACAATTAGATAAAAATACGTGTGTGTGTGTGTGTGTGTGTGTGTGTGTGTGTGTGTGTGTTTGTTTTGTTTTAATAATCCTCACCTGAGGATATTTTTCCATTGATTTTTAGAGAGAGTGGAAGAGAGGGGGAAAGACAGAGAGAAATATCAATGTGAGAGAAACACATCGATTGGTTGCTTTCTGCAGGCACCCTAGCCAGGGAGGAGCCTACAACTGAGGTACGTGCCCTTGACTGGAATTGAACCTGGGACCCTTGGCTCTGGAGGCTGGTGCTCTGTCCACTGAGCCAAACTGGCTAGGGCTCAACCCTTTTATTCTTTCTACATTTGCCAGTCAGCACTAAGTATTTTACTGTATTCAAGGAATCTTTTTCTCCTTTTTGTTGAGTTTTCATTATTGGTGTGAATTTATGGGTTCTTATATTTTCAATAGTTTTCATCATTCACTATTATACTTACTGCTCTGGTGTGTAGAATGTTCTAAGTTGTACTCTAGGACAGGAGAGAGACATCAATATGAGAGAAACACATTGATTGGTGCCTCCCACACAGGCCCCTACTAGGGCCAGGTATGGAGCCCGCAGGGTTTTATGGAGCTTCACACAGGGTTTTCGCACAGTTGTAGCCTCAGGTACACAAACCTCACTCCAGGGTTTACAAATCCATTTCTTCCCCATGGTACAACACTGGGTTTGATTCTAGTCAAGGGCATGTACTCTGATTGCAAACACATCCCTGGTGGGGGTGTGCAGGAGGCAGCTGGTCGATGTTTCTCTCATCGATGTTTCTAACTCTATATCCCTCTCCCTTCTTCTCTGTAAAAAACAAATAAATAAATAACTAAATAAATAAATGAAATATATATTTTTAAAAAGCAACGTGGTATACTTACTTGGTAGATAGTTTTTGTTGCTGCTGTGGTGTGGAGAGTGAGGGGTAATGTCTTCTGAAGAGAAGTGATTAACTAATAGGCTAGAATACCAGCTTGATTGATCCTGAAGGTAGGAGAGGAGCTAAGGGGGAATATTAAATTTTTATAAGTACCATATAAGATTTGTTTACCCTTGACATTTTGCCCTTAATTGCTTGCTGTTGATTTTTTAGATTGAAAGAAGAAAACAAAGCTAAGAGATATCGCTTGTTTCCCTTATTATTTGGGGTATTCTAACCAATAGGAAATTTATTTTTGTTTAAGGTTTATAACACAGGTTTTGGCAACTCAATATTTGATGGAATGTTTTGAGAAAGCTATTGCATTCCTATTTTGTATTGTTTTAGAAGGCCTAAGTAGAACTGCCTGGTAGAACTCTGTGTAAAGAAGTTATTTCTTAATGAATCAAATGATCTTAGTAGAGTAGGCCAGACGTCATAATGAGCAGCACATAGGTATAGACTCACAATAATAGTAAGAATTTACATTTCCTCAACTCCCTTATCCAGGAATATGACGTGCTGACCTTGTCTTCCACTAGTTATTGTGCTTTAATCATTGTTATGCTAATAATTACTTGTGGAACAAAAAGATAATTTCCAGTTATCTTTATTCACTTTTTTATTTTTGTTTTTAACATGCCATTGAATTAAAACTTAGTCTTAGCAATTCTAGGATACTATGGAGTGTTTTTATTTCCTAAAGCAGTAGGTGGCTGTGGCATTTACAGTTATACAAGGTTGGTCATAGTAACATTGTTTGTAGTAGTAAATGCATATTTCCATAGTGGAGTATAATATTGAAGAAGGCAGCTCTACATTTGGTAAAGAATGATTGCTACACTGGCCAGTGTGGCTTTTGGTTGGAGCATTATCCCATACCAAAGGGTCTTTGGTTCGATTCCTGGTCATGGCACATACCCAGGTTGCAGTTTTTAGAGATATTTTCAAGCCATTAACAGAGAGTGAACCCTGGCCTGTGTGTTCAGTGGTTAGACATCCCACACACCAAAGGGTCAATCCCCAGCTCTATTGGGTGCATACAAAAGATCCAATCGATGTGTTTCTAACATCAATGTTTGTCTCTCTCCCTCTACCCCTCTTTCCTTTAAAAAAAAAAAAAAAAAAAAAGAAGAATGATAGCTGCCCTAACCGGTTTGGCTCAGTGGATAGAGCATCGGCCTGTGGACTGAAAGGTCCCAGGTTCGATTCCAGTCAAGAGCATGTACCTTGGTTACGGTACATCCCCAAAAGGAGATGTGAAGGCAGCTGATTGATGTTTCTCTCTCATCAATGTTCTACCTCTCTATCCCTCTCCCTCTTTTTCTGTAAAGAATAAAATATATTTTTAAAAAAGAATGATAGCTTAGATTGAGTTTATATAACATTGTAAGACATACTAGTAAGTAATGTACTGCAGTTTGTTTTTAAAACAAGTATTAGTTATCTCTAGAAAACTACTTGGGGATGTGTGTTAATAGGTGAATTATCTCTGAAAGGAAACACAAAACACTGGTAAAATAATTGCCTCAGGGATGGAATATTGGGGGTCAGTCGTGGAAAGAACATTTTATTGTGTAGATACATAAAATTAGTTTAACCTTTTATATATATTAGTTTTTTAAATAATTTAGATTGCTTTAAAGGAATGCCAAGCAACTATTATATTACAGTGATCTTAAGGCTCAAAAATTGATAGAGGAGCCGGGACCAGTTTGGCTCAATGGATAGAGCGTCGGCTTGGGGACTGAAAGGTCCCGGGTTCGATTCCGGTCAAGGGCATGTACCTTGGTTGCGGCATATCCCCAGTAGGGGGTGTGCAAGAGGCAGCTGATCGATGACTCTCTCACATCGATGTTTCTAACTCTCTATCTCTCTTCCTTCCTCTCTGTACAAAATCAATAAAATAGATTTTTTAAAAAGATAGAGGAGTAGGTTGTCTGAGGAGGGGGTAGCTGGTTTTCTCTTTGAAGGAATATAAGGAAAGCCTGAAAAGGCACCTTAACTGTTCAGCTTTTCTAAGTGAATGTTTAGTCTGTGATGGTATACTAAGTTTATAGCTTATGCTCTTTTTTTCACCCACTCTTTTTTGTTTTGTTTTATTAATCCTCACCTGGGGATATTTTTTCCATTTGTTTTTTGTTTTTTTGTTTGTTTTTTTAGACATAATGAAAGGGGGACAGTAAGAGATAGAGAAACATTGATGTGAGACACACATAGATCAGTTGCCTCCAATTAGGGCCGTAGATTGACCTTGCAACCCAGATATGTGCTCTTCATCAGGAATTGAACCCCAGGCTCCAGTGTATGGGCTGACACGCTAATCACTGAACCACACTGGCTAGGGCTCACACACTCTGAATGGTTTAAAGATGTTTCTGATATTAAAATACTTACTAATTATAATTTTATCAGGACAAGTCTTTCTGCAAAACTAAACTTCATTTGCTAGTTCTTTTTTTTTTTTTTTGCTTTAAAATAAGTACATCTTTATTTTTTTTATTGTTTAAAGTATTACATATAGTAGTACATATATCTTCTTTTTTTTCCTCATTGACCTTCCTCCAGCCTCCCCTACCCCCTGTTGCATTCCTAATCCCACCACCCCCAGTGTCTTGTGTCCATTGATGTGCTTATATGCATGCATACAAGTCCTCTTCCCTCCCCAACACTCTCCAGCCTTCCCGTTATAATTTGATTGTCTGTTCAGTGCTTTACTGCCTCTGTATCTATCTTTTTGTTCATCTGGTTATAATGTTCTTTATTTTCCTTTTTTTAAAATATATATTTTATTAATTTTTTACAGAGAGGAAGGGAGAAGGATAGAGAGTCAGAAACATCAGTGAGAGAGAAACATCGACCAGCTGCCTCCTGCACACCCCCTATTGGGGATGTGCCCACAACCAATGTACATGCCCTTGACTGGAATCGAACCTGGGACCTTTCAGTCCACAGACTGATACTCCATCCACTGAGCCAAACCGGCCTTGGCTGTTCTTTATTTTCCATAAATGAGGGAGATCATGTGGTATTTTTCTTTCATTGCCTGGCTTATTTCACTTAACATAATGCTCTCCAGGTCCATCCATGCTGCTGCAAATGGTAAAAGTTCCATCTTTTTTATAGCAGCATAGTATTCCATTGTGTAGATGTACCATGGTTTCCTAACCCACTCATCTGCTGATGGGCCTTTAGGCTATTTCCAAATCTTAGCTATGGTGAATTATGCTGCTATGATCATAGGGGCACATATATCCTTTCTGATTGGTGTTTCTAGTTTCTTGAGATATATTCCTAGAAGTGTGATTACTGGGTCAAATGGGAGTTCCCTTTTTAGTTTTTTGAGGAAACTTCATACCGTTCTCCATAGTGACTGCACTAGTCTGCATTCCCACCAGCAGTGCATGAGGGTTCGTTTTTCTCTGCATCTTCTCCAGCACTTGTCGTTTGTTGATTTGTTGATGATTGCCATTCTGACAGGTGTGAGATGGTACCGCATTGCCATTTGATTTGCATCTCTCAGATAATTAGTGACTTTGAACATGCTTTCGTATGTCTCTTGGCCTTCCTTCTGTCTTCTTTCAAAAATATTCTATTTAGATCTGTTGCCCATTTTTTTTATTGGATCATTTATCTTCCTTTTATTAAGTTGTATAAGTTCCCTGTAGATGTTGGACATTAAACTTTTATCAGTGATAACATTTGCAAATATGTTCTCCCATACAGTGGGCTTTCTTGTTGTTTTGTTAATGGTTTCTTTTGCTGTGCATTTGTTAGTTCTTGAGTATCTATAACAAGTAGTAAGGGAAGATTAAATGTAAACATGAACAAAATTAATGATTACTTTTACAAATTGATACCTATTAATAAAAGCCATCTCTTGACCTCTAAAGAATGCCCACGGTTTATACAGTAAGCAACACATTAGAAACTTAAAGCAAAAAGCTCAAGAATAATATAACATATATTATTAAAGCTGTACTTTTGACAGAGCTAAATGTTTTAGAGGCCTAGGTGGAGCAGGTCCTTTTTTTGTGAAATACTTGTATTTTTTTTTTAAGTCATTTGAATTTGTTTTCTTTCAGAAATCGGGCTATAGCAGATTATCTTCGTTCAAATGGTTATGAAGAGGCATATTCAGTTTTTAAAAAAGAAGCTGAATTAGATATGGTATGCTTTACTTTTTATAATTGTAAGTGGATTTTATTCAAGTATCAGCAATTAACAATCACTTCAGTTACTCATAGATCTTATATCATTTGTTATTCACGTGGCACTAAACTTGGTTTTCAACTTATTTTTAGTAGTATAAGATTTTTAGTAATATTTAGACTCAGGGACAAATGGTCTGTGTGGCTTGAACTATCATAGTTGAGCCATTTTTTAAAAGGTTCTCATTTTTCCTCTAGAATGAAGAATTAGATAAGAAATATGCTGGTCTTTTGGAAAAAAAATGGACATCTGTTATTAGATTACAAAAGAAGGTAACTAAATTTTTTCCTTAAAAGTTGGTTGGTTATATTTGGAATGTTCTTAAACTTTCTGAAAACATTAACATAACTTTCTGAAAATATTAACATAATTAATAATTATATTTAATGTTGAAAGGGCAAATAATATGTTTCCTATGTATTAAAAATATTTTAACCCAAAAAGATCATAGCTGATACATGCTAACTCGTGCAACCTGGGTACTGGCTAGGTTGAATTTACATAAACAAGAACTTGGTCTTGTTTAGATGGGAAGAACTAATGGAGCCAATGTGATGCTGAGAAAAGAACACTAAATTATGCACTTAGACAAGTTATTTTTATGTCTGAGCTTTTATTTTTATGTGTAAAGTGAAGGCAATAAATAATATTCTGGTCCTAAAATTTATATTTTTAGTAGGCAAAACTAGAATGAATAAATAAATTGTTGCAAAATGAATTAATGCATCAAAATCTCTTAGAAAAGTATCTAAAAGATAGATATTAAATAAATGTTGACTTTTCAAGCAGACTGTCAAATTACAGCAGGGAGGATAGAGAGATCTGGGGGAGATAATAGATCAACCGAAGGACTTGTATACATGCATATAAGTACAACCAATGGACACAAAATTCTGGGGAGGGGGGTTCGGATCGGAGTGGGGGGGTGGTAAGATATGTACACAGATAATAATTTAATAAAAAATACATATTTATCCATAGAAAATAAATAAGTGTTGGCTTTTAATATAAATATTACCAGCATGTATAATTAAATTTGGTTTGGGAAGAGTTTACTAAGAGTAACATTTCGAGAGACTGACACAAGTGTACTGCTCTTCCTCTAAATAGTAGATATAAGTTGAAATTTTTATTTGAGTTAAGTAGTTAAGACACAAATTGTACTGAATTTTTCTCCATTTTTGGTTTTTTGTTTTGTTTTTTAAAATATATTTTATTGATTTTTTTTACAGAGAGGAAAAGAGAGGGATAGAAAGTTAAAAACATCGATGAGAGAGAAACATCAATCAGCTGCCTCCTGCACACTCCCTACTGGGTATGTGCCTGCAAGCAAGGTACATGCCCTTGACTGGAATGGAATCTGGGTCCACAGGCTGATGCTTTATCCACTAAGCCAAACTGGTTAGGGCTCAATTTTTGGTTTTTATGTCACTAAAATTTTGATGGTAGTTAGTATAGATAATTTTTAATAAATGATGAATGCTTTGTAATTTAATGATTTTTTAAAGTATTCTGCATATATAGACACAAAATAAAAGCAGTTTCTTAAAATATCAAGTAAAATTAGAGTCTGTCTGAATATATTGATATAACTATGTGTTCATTTTCAAGGTTATGGAATTAGAATCAAAACTAAATGAAGCAAAAGAAGAATTTACATCAGGTGGACCTCTTGGTCAGAAGCGAGACCCAAAAGAATGGATTCCCCGTCCACCAGAAAAATATGCATTGAGTGGTCATAGGAGTCCAGTCACTCGAGTTATTTTCCACCCTGTGTTCAGTGTTATGGTCTCTGCTTCAGAGGATGCTACAATTAAGGTAATTTTTTAAAATGAAGATTTGCAATAGGGTAATTGTTAAAAGCAGATTTAAATTTAATTGGGTGAAAGAAATAACATCCTGAAAATGAGGAATTAGAAAGAGGGAAAAAGTATGTACCTTACTTTGAAGTAAAGGTAATAGATGAAAATACAGGATTACAACACTAGTAATTCAGCAGGTGAATATGTTCTGCAGCAAAAAAAAAAAAAAAAAAAAAAAAAATTCAATAGAGAATTTATTTAAATTGGACTCTACTTGATATATTTAATATTGGCTTTGATTCCAAACTAAATATTTTATTTTTTTAATCAGAGAAAAGGTTGTTTTTGTAATTCCCTTTAATCCAGACAATGGCAGTTGAATAAGCCACCTGCAAAAAGACAAGTAAAATATAGTTAAAATGTTTAGGTAGGTTTCTCTGTTTTAAGGCTTATTTCAGTTTATGTTTCATTTGGAGAGGTTTAGGAAAATGTAGTTTAAGAGTGTACATATCACACAGCCGCAGTCTAACATAAAATGCAAGAAACAGTTAACTGTGACTTATACTTAACTTGTTCTTCATATTAAGCACTATTTTATGTTTTCTTATGTGGTTTCTTTAGTTTCTAAACCAGTGGCTTCCTTTTATCCTCTAGGCTGGCCATCCATGGGGCAGGCTGCAGAGTCATTGGAAGAGAGTCTTAAATTCACATGTGCATCATATACTTCTGTAGGCTGAGATGATGATATACCTAAAACCTTAATATATTGCTATTTTCAGATGTATGTAGATGTGTATTTAAATGATTGATTTAATGATAGTCTTGTGTACTAAAAAATGGCACTGCTATCATGAGGCATAGGGGTAAAGTAAATAGATTGAACCCAGTCCTTTTTATTGTTGTTCTTTACCCCAGGATATTTTTTCCATTGATTTTTTTTTTCTTTTTTTTTTTTTGAGAGTAGAAGGGATGGGTGTGGGAGAGAAAGAGCAACATGGATATGAGAGAGACACATTGATTGGTTGCTTTCTACATGTGCCCTGGCCCAGGATCAGGCCTGCAACCCAGGTACATGCCCTTGGCCAGGAATCAAATCTGGACTCTTTGGTCTTTGAGGTGATGCTCTAACCATTTGGAAACCCAATCGGTGTTCAGTATTTACTATTAATTTTGCAGTAGTATTGAAGAGCATAAACAAAACTGTAAATGTGACACCTTAAAATATATCTATGGAGTCAACTTTAAAATATTACAAATGGTACATATTTATTTGTTTCCCTTTACTTACCAGATAATTTTGTATAAGTCCTGTTATTTTTAGATGGCCAAGGTTTATGTTATTTATATCTGTTTTATAACTGTGAATAAGTTTTCTATGCTTTGATTATAAAAATGGAGAACCTGCCTGGTCAGTGTGGTTGAGCATCAACCTAAGAACCAGGAGGTCACTGTTCGATCCCCCCACAGGGCACATGCCTGGAATGTGGGCTCGATACCCAGTTAGGAATAAGCAGGAAGCAGCTGATGGATGATTCTCTCATCACTGATGTTTCTATCTCTCTCTCCCTCCCTTTTTCTCTGAAATCAATAAAAAAGAAAAAGAAAATGGAAACCAACAAACACCATTTACTCCATGAACAAAATATTACAAATAGAAGTTTTTAAATTTTACCTTTCTTCTGTGAAGTGAAGATAATATCTATCTCAGGCTTTTAGGGAGGATTAAAGGTGTTATTACGGAGAAGCTGTTTACCACAGTGCTAGTCAGATACTAAAGGAGTACTTCGTGTCAGCAGTGTTTCAGCAGCATTAATAGATCTTCCTTTGGATTTTAAGTTATTTTTAGTCATCTACTGTCATAAATAATGTTCTGTTTATTTTTATACATAAAGCTTTTTTCTCATAAATTACTTCCTTTGATAGTTTGTGGAATGAAAACAAAAAACTTAACTCTCCTTCTATATCTTTTCTTTGTTCAATTGTGTTCAAATTAGGTGATTTCCAAGTGTGCTGGTTGAGATAGAACTACTTTCCCAAAAACCCAAAGGAAAAACACAAAGGTGCACAGTCAGAGCGCATTCAAGAGGCAGCCATTCTTATGACTGTGTTGGGCAAAGGGATTATGTTTAAGGTTCAGTTATCTCGTTTGTTGGGAAGGGGGATTAAAATATGTCATAAGATTCTATTTCTTAAAATAATATATACATAATAATGTGTATAGTATAGTGCCTGGCCAACTTAAATAGATAGATGGTAAGGGCTCAAAAAGCTGTAGCTAATGGTACAGTTATCAATAACAAAATTAAAATTATATTAAGTAATTTCTCTTGTGCATCTGGTAAACACAGCAAGTTTGTGCTCATTTATTGTCAGGAATTTCCTTTTAGAATCACTCATTTACATTATCAATATTTGAATATAATAACTTAGAAAAACTGATAGAGGGTAAATATTTGGAATAGTTTATGATAGTATTTTTGTTTTAATTTTAATTCTCACCTGAGGATATGTTTATTGATTTTAGAGAGAAAGGAAAGGGGAGGGGAGGGAAGGGAAGAAGGGAAGGAAAGAAAGAAAAGACAGGAAGGAAGATCTATGTGAGAGAGAAACATGAATCAGTTGACTTCCATACACACCCTGCTGGGGATTAAACCTTCAGTCTAGGTATGTGCACTGGCACTGACTGGAAATCAAACCTACACCTTTTTTTGGTGCACAGGAAGATGCTCCAACCAGCTGAGCCACCCAGCCAGGGCCTTCATAACAGTGTTTTTAATTGCACCATTTAAATTTTTGAGATATTTCTGGTTGTCATTTAGAACTAATTCTTAAATGTTTTAAAAAATGAACAGCAACATAACAAAATACATTAAACTAATAAAGCAGGTTAAGGATTGCCAACTTTAATATATAAATAGTTCAAACAAATATGAAAAACAGAAACATCTCTAAAAATGGACTGTAGGACATGAAGAGATAATTCATAGAGGAATAAAAATAACTAACAATAACAAGTTTGGCCTCACTATTAATAGAAGAAACGCAAATTAAAATTATCCTATATAATAAAGTGATAATATGCAAATTAACCCTCACACCCTCACAAGATGGCTGCCTACAACCAGGCTGGCAGGGGGGTTAGTGAGGGACAACCAAACGACTGAACAAGCAGCTGCGTGGAGCAATCAGGCTCGGGGAGGGGGTTGAGGGGCGAATAGGCCAGCAGGGGAAAGGGGGCAGTTGTGGGCAATCAGGCCGGCAGGGGGGGCAGTTGGGGTTGACCTGGCTGGCAGCGGGGGGCAGGGAGGGGTAGTTAAGCAAATGAGTGATTAGGAGTCAGCGGTCTAGGATTGTGAGAGGGATGTCCAATTGTTAGTTTAGACCTGATCTCCGAGATTGGGCCTATACTGGCAGTCAGACATCCCCCAAGGGTTCTTGGATTGGAGAGGGTACAGGCTGGGCTGAGGGAACTACCGCCCTCCCATACATGATTTTCGTGCACCAGGCCTTTTGTAATATATATAAAATCTGTCAAGATATTTTGCTTTTTCAAATGATAATTCCCAGTGTTTATAAGAATTTGATGAAGCAGATATTCTCATTATTTTGATATAATCTAATGGTAAAACAATTTAGCAAAATATATGAAAAGCTTAAAAAGTTTATACTTTTTGACCCTATTTTTCTTTTCCTATTATTGTGTGACCCTAAGTATTGCAAATTGTGGATAGATATTTTTTAATATTCAAAGATTTCATTTATATATTTCCTATAATAATTTTTAGCCAACAATAGGAATTATTGTTCTTAGAAGAATGCTAAGGTGGTTTTGTTGTTGTTGTTTTAAGAATGGTGTTTTTTGTTTTAGAGAGAAGATAGAAACATCAATTTGTTTTTCCACTTATTTTTGTAATCATTGGTTAGTCCTTATGTGTGTTCTGACTGGAGATTGAACCTACAAACATGACATATTGGGATGATGCTCTAACCAACTGAGCTATTCAGCCAGGGCAAGAATGCTATAAGTTTTTAACAACATAGAAAAAATTATATCATAAGAAGCAAAGGGAAAAATTGAATAATGAAATATACACAGTCACGCCGTAACCGGTTTGGCTCAATGGTAGAGTGTCGGTCTGCGGACTGAAAGGTCCCAGGTTTGATTCCGGTCAAGGGCATGTACCTTGGTTGAGGGCACATCCCCAGTAGGGGGTGTTCAAGAGGCAGCTGATAGATGATTCTCTCTCATTGATGTTTCTAGCTCTCTATTCCTCTCTCTTCCTTTCTGTAAAAAATCAATTTAAAAAAATGTGTGTGTGTAAATGTGTGTGTAAATATACACAGTCACTATATTTAAAGGGCATAGAAAAGAATGGGGAAAAAATCCATACTATTGTTAGGATAAGGGATTTCTATTTTATTTCGAATACATTATTGTTTTTTTTTTTTATCATGAGCATTTTATAATTATACAAAAGGTAAATATAAAGTAAACAATTCTTATTCTTGACATTTATAAACTCACAAATACTGTTTGCTCACCATTTATGAAGAAATACACAGTTTGTTTTCTGGCTACATTTATTTTAGAGAAAATGTTTTAGTGTTATTTAATGAATACATGGAAAGAAAAGTAACTGAAATTGGAGTGAACTTCAAGTTCACACCTTGCCCTAGCCGGTTTGGCTCAGTGGATAGAGTGTCAGCCCATGGACTAAAGGGTCCCAGATTTGATTCCAGGCAAAGGCACATACCTCAGTTGCAGGCTCAATCCCCAGCCCTGGTTGGAGTGCATGCAAGAGGCAACCAATTGATGTGTCCCATTCACATCAATGTTTCTGTGTCTCTCCCCTTCCCACTCTCTTAAAAAACAAAACAAAAGAAAAAAACCACCTTAAGTGTTCCTCTGAACTCTTGGTGTCAAAATTAAACACTTAGATAACAAAGTAAGACAAAGGTATTACAAAAGCAAACTATAGACCAATACAGTATGAGCACAGATGTAAAATCTCTTACACATCATAAATTTAACCCAGTCATTTATTAAAAGGTTAATTATAATGAAATAGGTGCACCCAGTATGCAAGGAATGGTTCCACATTTGAAAATAAATCAATATGATACAACAACAGCAACAAAAATAAACCCAGCTGGTGTGGCTTGGTTGAGCCTCATCCCATGCACCAGGAGGTCACAGGTGTGATTCTCTGTCAGGGCCCATGCCCAGGTTGCCCGCTCCATCCCCAGCAGGGGGCGGGAGGCAGCTGAGCAGATACTTCTCTCACTGATGTTTCTCTCTTCCTCTCTCTGAAATCAGCGAAAACATTTTAAAGCAGAGTCAGAAAAAGCATTTGAAAAAATGCCAATATCCACTCATGAAAAAAACAAGAGAGGTAACTTTAGGAAAGGTAAAGATATCTGAAAAAACCTGCAGTGGTGCTAATACTTAATGGTGGAAACTGAATGGTTTCCTCTGAGGTCAGGAATCAAGCCAGGTGAGATGTCCAATCTCAGCCACTATATTCACCTTCATACTGGAGTGCCTAGCCAGTGCAATAAGGAAGAAGAAATAAAAGGCATACAGATTGAAAGAAAGAAAGAAAAAACTATTTGCAGACACAATCTATGTAGAAAATTCAAAAAAACGTACAAAAAAGCAAGTAGAACTATGACTGAATTTAATAACTCACAGGATACAAGGTCAATATACAAAATGTAATTACATTTCTATAAACTAGCAATAAGTAATTGAAATTTGAAATTTAAAAATGCAACTTATAGTAGCATCAAGAAACCACAAGGATAAGTCTAGCAAAGTTACACAAAATTAAACACATGAAGGAGTGCTTAAACATTTACATGGAACAAATTTTGTTTATATTGGGAAGGGTACAGAAGTTTTCTGTTAAATTTTTTCAAAGATAGTTCATTTTTCTTAGGTTCTTTTTTTAAGTAATGATCACGTGTAATTTTTTTTTTAACAACATTGTATGCATGTCATAAATTCATTACAGTTGCAAATTTTATATCTTAGCCATTTGCCAATGTTGGTTATATTGTTTCTAAGTTTTCAAAATGCAATTTCTACATTTCTCTAAATTGGTTGGTATATACCTTACCACAGATAAATTTGAAATTATGGGAAAAATGGAATTAATCATTTGACCTTAGAGCAGCATAATTGGTATTGATGAAAGATTAAACTTCACACTTGCATTTGACCACCAGAATGAAAGTTTAGTATGTTCTTGAGGTCCGTTTCTAATATTTATTCTTGATAGCTCATTATTTCTATTATTTAGAAAAGTTATCTTTAAAATATGTGGCTGTGACTTTTTTTTTTTTTTTTTTTTTTTTAAATATTTTTTATTGATTTTATACAGAGAGGAAGGGAGAGAGAGAGAGAGTTAGAAACATCGATGAGAGAGAGTCATCAATCAGCTGCCTCTTGCACACCCCCTACTGGGGATGTGCCCGCAACCAAGGCACATGCTCTTGACCGGAATCGAACCCGGGACCCTTCAGTCCCCAAGCCGACGCTCTATCCATTGAGCCAAACCGGTCCCGGCTGGCTGTGACTTTTTTACATCAGAATGACATTCTTTTGTTAATCTGCTTTTCATTGGACAGTTACATCATGTGAAGTCTTTTCTTGGCCTTTCAGATATCTGAATTCCACTTATCTAGTACAATTGAGTTCTCCTTCATTGTTACTTTCATTCTACATGTAAATGCCTGTCATAGTCCCCTGAAACTCTTTGTACTAAAATTTACTTATTAACATACCTATTGCCTGCTGTCAGATTCAGAAGGGACTTTGTCTTGTGGCTTTATATACTTAATCACTGGTGTAATTAGGTGCATGGTAGATAATGTGGTACTAGAGGTCCATTTTAATAATTGCACCATCAATTTTCTCTATTAGAGGAAAGACCAATTTATATTTGAAGATGTGCTAATTTCTAAGACAGTGACCCTTTATCACTTTCTCAGTTAATTAGTAAGGTGCCAGACTGGCCTGCTGAGTGCAAATGTGAAACAAGAAAGTGATGAGTTGATATTAACCAATTTTTTGTTCATGTGACAGGTGTGGGATTATGAGACTGGAGATTTTGAACGAACTCTTAAGGGGCATACAGACTCTGTACAGGATATTTCATTTGACCACAGTGGCAAACTTCTGGCTTCCTGTTCTGCAGATATGACCATTAAACTATGGGATTTTCAGGGCTTTGAATGCATCAGAACCATGCACGGTAAGGAATAGAGGGTGGTGTTTTGATATTGATTTCTCACATGGCATTTCAGAATTAAGAATATTGTTTTCTAACCGTGTGCATGTTCCCTTCGTTCAATTCTTAATTGTCTGTGTCGTTGAAGGACTAATGATGTAGATAGTCCATGGATAAGCCGTAGTTGAGAGTTGTTTTTGTTATGAAGCTTTAAGTATCTCTTAGTGGTTTATATAAAGTATGAAAATTGTTTTCACAAATATTTTTTAATAAGAAAAACTGCTAGGACATCTGTTTTTGAGAAAATGAAGTTGTTAGTAGGTTGTTTTTATTTGTCTTTTAAAAAATATATATATATTTTATTGATTTTTCACAGAGAGGAAGAGAGGATAGAGAGTTAGAAACATCGATGAGAGAGAATCATCCATCAGCTGCCTCTTGCACACCCCCTTCTGGGGATGTGCCCGCAACCAAGGTACATGCCCCTGCCCGGAATCGAACCCGGGACCTTTCAGTCTGCAGGCTGACTATCCACCGAGCCAAACCGGTTTTGCTTTATTTGTCTTTTTTTAATCATTTTTCTCAATTGGGAAACGGAAGTTGAGAGAGAGTGGGTACAGTAAAAGCTGGAATCCATATTTCCTTGCTCACTTTTTAATATTTCACATATATTACAGTCTCATTGTTAGTTGTTGTCTGGGTTTTGTCACAAAGACTATTCTCTGAGGCAGTTTAGTTTTGTGAAAAGAGCTTTGGGATCAGATATCTGGGTTTAAATTCCTAGCTGTTTACTTACGGCATTAGGAAGTTTTAACCTCTTCCATCTGCAAGATAGAGGTAATAATACCTAAGTCATAGGCTTGTTGTGAGGATAAAACGAGACCACATACAGGCATACCTTGGAGATATTGTGGGTTTAATTCCAGACTATCACAATAAAGTGAGTCATGAATATTTTGGTTTCAGGGCATACAGAAGTTATGTTTGCACTACATAGTTCTATCAAGTATATAGTAGTAGTCTGTATTTTTAAAAACTCAGTGTACATATCTTCATTTTAAAAAACGTATTGCTAAAAAAATGCTACTCATCAATCTGAGCTTTCAGTGAATCATGATTTATTTGTTTTTTTTTGCTGAGGGAGTTTCTTTCTTAGATGTTGATGAAAACGTGATATCTGTGAAGCACAATGTAGCAAAGCACAGTAAACAGGTTTTCTGTACTTGATTATCTTGCTTTAATTCCTGGCACATAGAAGGTGCTCAGTAAAGAAAGGTTTTATTTCTTTGTGTTTTTTTTAAAATTATTATTTGTTTTGTTTAAAATATATTTTTATTGATTTTAGAAAGTAGGAAGGGGGAGGGATAGGGAAATAGAAACATTAATCAGCTGCCTGCTACACGCCCCTCTGGGGATCTTGAGCCCACAACCCAGGTATGTTCCCTGACCAGGAATCAAGCCAGTGACCTAGTCCACGAGTTGAAACTCAACCACTGAGGGACACCAGCCAGACATGTTTCTTTAAACATGATGAGATTTAAGTGTTTGTATTTTATATAAGGAACACATACTGTGTTAGTAATAAAATATTTTTCTAAATATATTCAGAGATACTGAAACATGAGTAAGCTACATGATTACATACAGAGTGTAATTTGAAGTGTGTTTTCTTCCCTAATTAAATGCATTCGAAAGGTTTACCAAGTAGTGGAATTCTATTGAATCCCTTCATAAAATCTTCGGACTCCCTGGGGCTCTTTCCTTCAAGAATAACTGATTAGTTAGGATTGTGAGTAATGTATATGGAATAATACATTTTTACCACCATGAATATCAACAGATCATTTCAGCCATTATTTTAAATATAGAATCATATCCCCATTTTTCTTACCTAGTCTTTTTAGCTTTATTTCTATTTTATATTGTAGAATATGAACAATGGAAATATTTGTGTTTTTCTAGTGTTCATACATAAACATTCAATGTATTAATACAGGGGTGGGCAAAAGTAAGTTAAATTACCAGCCATCATTACCTAAAAAAATATTAAAAGTAAGGGTATGAAATAGCAACAATAAAAATGTATAATACAATATTAATAAAGAATAATATAAGGATAAACTATTTTGCATAAATAAACCTACTTTTGCTCCACACCTATATATTCATATACTGATGATATTAGCACCTTATGGTTTTAAAACAATTGTGCAGTTTGAAATTTATTCATAAATTGAGTTGGCTATTTATTGTGGATTATTTTATTGGTTGGTACTAGTTCCTTTTTTGTATAAGTTTTTAATCAAATTTATAATAAAGCCCAGTGTATTAAAGTTGCTGTTATTTAAAATCCCATGGTGAAATCTTGTGGTAAACAGGTTTAATTGCTCTTGTGGCATATTATTTAATATGTTGCTGTGTTATGTATTTTAGGCCATGATCACAATGTTTCTTCAGTAGCCATCATGCCCAATGGAGATCATATAGTGTCTGCTTCAAGAGATAAAACTATAAAAATGTGGGAAGTGCAAACTGGGTAAGTAGATTTAGTTGAATATCTGGTAAAGAGATGTTAAACAAAATTGTATTCTAAATGTTCCAATAATTTTAGCTTTTACCCATAATGATCATCATGGCAATTTCATTATTACTTTAAAACTAGGTTTTGATATCTAAATGTATTTTCTCCCAAAAACAGAGAAATTATAAAAGAAAATCTATGTCCTTCAAAGCCATTTTCTATGTAATGGCTTATTTTCTCTGTGGTCTTCTTTTAGGTTATCTCTCTGTGGGTTGAAATAAAATGTAGATAACATTTGTACAGGTAGGCCCCTATTAGGTTTAATTTGGTTGTGCTTAGAATTACACGATTGTTAAAATAGAACCTTAACCTTCTGGTTTTACCCAGATTAGTAGAGCATGCTTTTCTCCCAACATGGCTAGAAATACTTTTGTTAGGTTTATTGTGTGTGTTTAATTTTGAAAAGATTTTCTCTCTATATTTTACTGTCTAAATTTTGTTGATTTGGTTAGCTCCTTAATGATTCTCCTATAAGCTTATTTTAACTGATGTTTGACTTTCTAGCCTGTCCCCATCTTTCATTAACCAGGAATGTACATTTATTCTGTTGACTTGCATATGATTTCACTAACTTGGTGTCATTCTCTTCATTCCAGTGCACATAGTAAGTTTTGCATTGCTTCTGGGAAGTGTCCCAATGGATTACCATTCACAACATAAATTATTATTTATTTTGACAGTTACTGTGTGAAGACATTCACAGGACATAGAGAGTGGGTACGTATGGTGCGGCCAAATCAGGATGGCACTCTGATAGCCAGCTGTTCCAATGACCAGACTGTGCGAGTATGGGTCGTAGCAACAAAGGAATGCAAGGCCGAGCTTCGAGAACATGAGCACGTGGTAGAGTGCATTTCCTGGGCTCCAGAGAGCTCCTATTCTTCCATCTCTGAAGCAACAGGATCTGAGGTACTATGATTGATGTGTCATTTCATGATTTTGTTGCTGATAGATCAGAACCTTAGATGACTTTTCTGATGCTCAATTTCAGAGCCATTAATACATTTAAAAATCTGTATTTCAGAATTATGAATCTTATAATTTTTTTACTCTTTAACTTGCAGGTGAATATAAATATATAATTTTTTTAAAATATATATTTTTATTGATTTCAGGAGGAAGGGACAGGGAGAGAGAGAGAAGCATCACTGATGAAAGTTATTGATTGGCTGCCTCCTGCACGAACCCTACTGGGGATTGAGCCTACAAACCAGATTTGTGCCCTTGAATTGCACCGTGACCTCCTAGTTAATAGGTCGATATTGAAGCTGGGGGACCGGTCGTGTTTATATTTTTAAACCAGTTTTTATTATTGCTATCAGCTGACGTTTGTTGTGTAATGGGGATGGGGATTCTCCTAAAGAGGGAGAGTGGTAATTCAAATTATTAGAAATGCCATTGTTGCCGAAACTGGTTTGGCTCAGTGGTAGAGCGTCGGTCTGTGGACTGAAAGGTCCCAGGTTCGATTCCCGTCAAGGGCATGTACATTGGTTGCAGACACATCCCCAGTAGGGGGTGTGCAAGAGGCAGCTGGTCGATATTTCTCTCTCATTGATGTTTCTAGCTCTCTATCCCTCTCCCTTCCTCTCTGTGAAAAATCAATAAAATATATTTTAAAAAAGAAAAAAAAATGCCATTGTTTTAAGAGTGTGCCAATGCAGAATAAAACTATGGAGAGGTTAAAGTTATCTTTTAGAAAAATCACCTTTTTATGGACATAATTATTTTACTTATAAAATAATTGTTGGTGGAATGCAGTTTAATATTTCTCACTCCCTCTTTCTCTCTAAAATCAATAAAAATATTTTTTTAAAAATATTTGTATAAATAAAGAATATTTCATATGGAGGTCCCTGATAACCCTTGATCAGACTTTTCTATTATAGATTTTTTTAGAGAGAGAGAGAGAGATCAATGTGAGAGAAACATCAATCAGTTGCCTTCCATATGCACCTCGACCCAGATAGCCTGCAAACTGGGCATGTGCAACTTTTCGGTTGATGCTCAGCCAATTAAGCCACACCAGCCAGGACACTATTGTGGATTTTTAAAAATTACATTTTTTGTGGGTTATTGTTAAGAACAAAGAAAAAAAAAGAAAAAAAGAAAATTACATTTTAACAAGTAAAAAAGGAGAATCTTTTCTCTTCCCCACCTTTCTCTCCATTGTATTTCTAAATGAAGCTTCTATTGTAATCTGTTTTTGTTGGCTGATTGCATTTTCGAATTCTTTTTACTGCCCTCTGGTGATAGTTACATGCAATGTCATAAATTTGATTCTATCTGAACTTTAGATATAAATGCTAAATTGTATAGTTTTAAGATTCTTCTTGATTACAGAAGTCTTGATCAGTAAATTTATCATCGTGGTATTGTAGGTAGAAACTGATTTTTTTTTTTATTGATTTGAGAAAGAAGAGGGAGGAAGAGAGAGAAACATCAACATTTATATTAATTGGATCCTTTCTATGTAGGTTAAAAGATGTGTGCTTTTTTTTTGTTTTATTTTGTGGGTTTTTTAAATCCCTACCTGAGGGTATGTTTTATTGATTTCAGAGAGGGGAAAGTGGAGAGAGAGAAAAAGAAACATGATGTAAGAGAGAAACATCCTTTGATTGCCTCCCGTGGAGGGTTGAACTGGCAACATTTTGGTGCACAGGATAATGCTCCAACCAACTGAGTTATACCAGCCAGGGCAAAACTTGTCCACTTGGATACACTAAAACAAGATAAGTCCTGGAGATGTACTGTACGGCATACTGGAAATTTGCTAAGGAGGTAGTTCTTAAGTCTTCTTACCAGTTTTCATTTGTTTAAAAAAATGCATTTTTATAAAATTGGAAATACAGATCATTAATAGATAAAAGTTATTTAAGTCCTTATATAACTTCTTGCATGGGAAACTTAATTTTTATATGTTTTCTATAGACTAAAAAAAGTGGCAAGCCTGGGCCATTCTTGCTATCTGGATCCAGAGACAAGACTATTAAGATGTGGGATGTCAGTACTGGCATGTGCCTTATGACCCTTGTAAGTTTGAATAACCTCACTACTTCGTTTTCTTTCCTCCTTTAAGTTTTGTTGTTGTTGTTTTATGGCTCACTTTTTTTTTTTTTTTTTTTTTTTTAGTAATTCTTGTTGAAAGTATTACATGTGTCTCCTTTTTTCTTGCATTGACACCTGTATTTCAATATGAAGATATATATATATATATATATATATATATATATATATATATATATATATAATAGTACAGGATTGTGAACATTCCTGTTTGCTTAAGAGATATCAAGAGGATCAAGAGGATCTGTGGACATAATCCAAGTAGCAGTTTTTGTAATTTGATAAAATAACTTTAGTTTTAGAGATTCCTTAGGTGCTAACTATACTTTGAAGTTTACGATAAACACATGGAAGAATCATCAAGAACTAGTTAGAAATTTAAACTCTCCTCTGGTCGTGTTCTGATATACAGTATTGCTGTTAGAAAAGGTGGCCCACGTTTAAAATTAAAAGCATGTGCACCCCTCTTCTGTAACAGCATAGGTCCCTTTTAGTTCCCCAGGAAGCTTCTGGCTCCTATTTTTCAGTTGAAGTTAGGGGAAGGGTTGTACTTTTTATGCTTTATTTTGGTGCAGGCAAGGAAATGTGATTTGACTTTTGTTGAGGCTTCTACCTCTAGTGATTGGTGGCTTTACTATAAAAGAATAAAGTTTTATAAATAAGGTCAAAAGCAGATTGAACAAAGGCAAGGAAGATGTCATCTTGGTTGTCTTTTTTCATCTGCACTCTCCAATATTGTAACTATATTAGCCTCACGCAGTTAATGAACTAATGAAATGTGGCTAGTGAGACTAAAGAACTGAATTGTTAATTGTATTTAATTTTGGTTTATATTTAAATAGCCACATGTGATATTTTCTTACATTCTGTAGATGAATTTGGTGGTGTTTTTTTAAAATAAAAATGTTATGTTTGTACATACTGCTTTGTAGCAGACTTTTAATTTAGAAGGTATTGACACTTGCTCATGTCATTAATTACATGCAGTGCTTTGATAAACATCTTTGTTAACTAAATCTCTGGGCCTGGTCTTAATTATTTCTTAGGCTAAATGAAAAGAGATGGAAATGCTGGGACAGGAGATTAGGTGGGCGGGTGAATAGATATATGGGTGACTGTATACCCTTTACCTGCAGTCACCAGTTTTTAACATGTTTTCTGTGTGTGTGTGTGTGTGTGTGTGTGTGTGTTTACATACATTTTTTTGAACAATTTGAGTTATGTGACTTGTATACATGACAATATCTATTTCTACCATTAACCACAATACAGTTATCACACTCAAGAAATTTAACATTAATATACTATATAATTTCTCGAATTATTCCAGTAGTGTTCTTTATAACCTTATTTTACCTCTATCTAGGAGTCAGTCAAGCATCATTCTGCATTTACTTGTTAGTTTCCAGTTTTTGTGTTTTAATCTAGAAGAATTTCCTAGACTTTCTTTTCCTTCTGACTTTAGCTTTTTTAAATGTGTGTGTGCATATAGTTTCAGTGAGCTTTTAGTTACGACTAAGTATTTTCATAGATGCTATTTAAGTAATTTATTTCTCCATTAAGTCATACCTTTTTGTTTTTAAGGTGGGTCATGATAACTGGGTACGTGGAGTTCTGTTCCATTCTGGGGGGAAGTTTATTTTGAGTTGTGCTGATGACAAAACCCTACGTGTATGGGATTATAAGAACAAGCGATGCATGAAGACCCTCAATGCGCATGAACACTTTGTTACCTCCTTGGGTATGTATGAGTTATGAGGTTTTTTGAGCAAATAGATTTTGGAGTGTAACAAGTTTTATGTAATAACCATGTGGACTTTTCCAGGTAAGAAATGACCATGGCTTTTAGGGAAAAATGGATGAAAAACTTAGTGAATTCTATCATTTGTTTTAAATTACCCTTTGCTTAATTCTCTCGTGCCATTGTCAATCTTATAATACAAAAATTACTTTCTCCATTGCACAATTTTGTTTTTGGAAACTAGAATTGTGAAGAGGATGCTTACTGATAACTCTAATGGGTAATTTTTTTTCCTTACTAGTTTTAAATTTCTCAAAAGAAATATTATTCAACCTTTTCCTTCTGGCAATTATATGCTATTACATACTAGAAACTCAGGGAATGCTATTTAAGTTTAATAGCATCTTTTAAAATATATATATAAAAGCCTAATCTGCAGTGTCCCCTCAGGGGTTCGATCACTTGCTGTGACATGCGCTGACCACCAGAGGGTGGCATGGAACGAAGGAAGGGCCGTTAAAGGCTGGCAGCAGGGGAAGGGAGGACCCAGCTACCAGCTACTAGGGACACTACCCGTGTACAAATTTCGTGTACTGGGCTTCTAGAGAGTGTGTGTGTGTGTGTGTGTGTGTGTGTGTGTGTGTGTGTGTGTTATTGATTTCAGAGAGGGAAATAGTGATAAGAATCATTAATTGATTGCCTCCTGCAAGCCCCCACTGGGGATCGAGCCTGCAACCCAGGCATGTGCCCTGACCAAGAATCTCCAACCATGACCTCCTGTTTCATAGGTTGATGATCAAGCACTGAGCCACACAAGCTGGGCTAATAAGCATCTTTACTATCATCTGGACCTGAATCTAGAAGTGAAGAAAGTGAATACAGTAAAATATAATACATTAGGTTATGATGGATCTAATGGTGAAGGCAAAGCCTCAGCAGAATAGGGCTAATCACTTCACAGGATGTTTACAAAGGTTTAGCATGAATTGAATATAAACCATTTGTATTTAGCTTTGCACTAGTGTATGTTCAGCAAGTGGATACATTAAGGTTATCCTTGTAGTTTTGAGTATTCAGCTTCATTTGGGATCGTGGTAGTGGAGGTAGGTTTGTGTGTGTGTGTTTTGTTTTGTTTTTTAGCTGTTAATACAGGTTTTTATTTTTTAAAAAATATATTTTATTGATTTTGTACAGAGAGGAAGGGAGAGAGATAGAGAGCTAGAAACATCGATGAGAGAGTCATCGACCAGCTGCCTCTTGCACACTCCCTACTGGGGATATGCCCTCAACCAAGGTACATGCCCTTGACCGGAATCGAACCCGGGACCTTTCAGTCCCCAAGCCGACGCTCTATCCATTGAGCCAAACCGATCTCGGCTGTTAATACAGGTTTTAATCATTAAGTCTCAGTTTCCCTAATCTAGTTGATACCTTCCAGGGGTGGATGTGTGGGTGTGTATAGATAAAAGTAGGTTATTCCTGGCCTTTGGACTTGCTTGTTTTGTGGCTCATTAAAAATTTTATCTGTCTCAACCTAATTTTACAAAAACCTTTTCTTTCTTATTTTTCAGATTTCCATAAGACGGCACCGTATGTGGTTACTGGCAGTGTAGATCAAACAGTAAAGGTGTGGGAGTGCCGTTGATTGAGTCTCTTTTGGCCCCTCCTCCTGATTTTCCTCTGGATGCACTCTGATGATACCATGGTTACCCTATTGAGCTCTGTTTAAATAAATATTGTCCTTTCATGTAAATTATTCTGGATGTAGATTGAGCTTATTAAATGTTACACACAAAGTATTCATGCATGGTGAATCCAAATTGTATACTGTAAATTTACATACGTTGTCTAGAAGTACCATAGGGTTTAAAAACCTGGGCTGGCATGGTCACACCAGGCCTAAGAAGGCAGAAATTGAATAATTGAACTAGGGCACTAAACTGAATAAATTGACAGTGTCATTTTATGTTTTATTATTAATTCCTGTTTTTCTTTCTGCTATTTGTTGGTGCCTGACTTAATGGCCTCATTTGGGGGAAAGTGGTGGTTATTAGGGTTTTTTTCTGAAATGTGTATTTATGTAACATCACTTAAGTGTGCTTAATAAATCATCTATAAGGATGTTAGATAATAAGGCTATAATTCAAAATCTTCTGAACCATCTATGTAATTATTGAGGATTACACATGGAATTTTTGTCATGACACATTTGCCAAATCAATAGGATACATTTGTTTTGGCAGCCTATCAAGCAAAGGCTAGTGGTATATTTATGTAAGAAAATGAGTATAAATCTCAAATAAGAAAAATTTCAGCAGCTAATAGCAAATCATTTATTTCATTTGGGTCTTAATGCTTTTAGCAGATTAAAAAGTACTCTGATACTGTAAGCTTCTGTTCTCCACATCAAACACACTTCTAGTTGTATTCTCCATACTACTAGACTGTGTTGTGATGTGACTTCCAAGCAGAGTTAATCTTCCCATTGAGTGTGTCATGATACAAATCACTATTCATTTTTTATATTTTTTAGAGATTGCAATGTGCATTACATAATGACAAAGATTGAGAAGCTTATGTATGCTCATTTTAAGGGAGGGGAAGAAATATAGCAGTTTTGTTTTCCAACAGGAATCTGACCAATTTGAACTGTGTTTAACTTGCAAGTTAAAAATGACAGGGTTTAATGGAATGTGCATAAAATGTACTGTGTTTTCACCTTTTGTTTATATATAAATGTTTTTAAGTATATGGACTTATCTATTAAGTGGATAAGTCTGTATATGTATATCACACACATACAACCTCCATGTTCTTGGGCCCTGGGTTTCTGAAGAAGTGCTAAAATACACAAATAGAATAAATCTTACTGTGGAATACCATGCTTTAGAATAAACCCTCTTTGATCTAACACTTCTGAAAACTAGGTCTGAGTCTATGGGAATTTTTCCCACTCGCAGGAAAATCACTTCTGCCTAGCCAGTGTGGTTCAGTGGCTAGGCCTCGACCCATGAACCAGGGGGTCCACGGGTTTGATTCCAGGTCAGGGCACATGCCCTGGTTGTGGGCTCAATCCCTAGTGTGGGGCATGCAGGGGGCTGCCAATCAATGATTCTCTCTCATCATTGATGTTTCTCTCTCCCTCTCCCTTTCTCTCTGAAATCAATAAAAAAAATATATTTTTAAAAAATAACTTCCATTATCTGCCTCTACCCCCAATTTGGCAGTTCAGCATTTTACATTTCCCTGATACATAGTGTATTGTGATCCAAAGTTACTACAAGTAAATTTAAGAGAATTTTTGTCTGACTTTGGAAACAATATTCCATTACAAATTATTAATAAAAAATTTTATTGCTTAGCTAACCAGGTTTTTTTTTTAATTGTTATTTGAAAAGTTAATGAAATAACAAAACAATTTAACAAAGAAATTTATTCCGAATTTCACTTTATTCATTTGTTTAATGTGGTTTTTAAAATGTTCCTTTTAGTATTTAATGGAAATTTGGTTTCTGGAAAAGACAAAGGGTTAGAGTTAACGTCCTGTAGATACACAGAATAGGTCGTATATTTACTAAAAGCAGTTTTATGTCTAGCTTGTGTCTTTTTGTTTGTTTTCTTGTTTGTTTTTAATTCCTCAAAGACCTCTCTGGAAGGAAGTGTTTTGAGAACTAATGGCTATTTTTGAGGACAAAAATTACAACTTTAAGCTAACTTCTTAAACTCAGTAGGATAACTTTCAGGACAAGACTGCCTCACAACCCTGCTCACACTGAGAAGTCTTTTTTGTTTGTTTTCTCCTTAGCTGTTCTGACTGGATTCTTCTACAAAAGCTATGGAAAATATCTTTGTTCTTGTTTGCTGCTATTTCCTGTCCTATTTTAAGAAATATACCTAGAAATGGTGCATCTTAACATTTGTTTGTACATGTATAAATGTCTTGTATTTTAATTCATTTTTAGCATGTAGCAACACAAATTGTTTAAGGGTAAGCCACAACATCTAGAAATCATTCATAGATTCGAACAATAAAGGAAAAAATGGTACCGATTTAGGAGGGAACAAAGCTGCTGTCCACTGGGTGTTTCTCCCGCAGCATACAGTGACTTGTTGACAAAGAAGGAGAGACGTTGTTACTCTGTTAACAAAGTTATCCTTCCTTGGGAGATGGCCACAGCCTGCTGCTTAGTTTGAATTACCAGACATCCTCCATTTAAGAAGCAGCGAACATTGAATCTCAGGGATGGCCCTCAACTGGATCCAAATGTAAGGAGCCCTGTTTGAATAATGAGGGGAGTGGGGAGAGAGATCCATCCAGAATCCGACTTTCAGAGGTTTCCTGTACTGTTGTTTGAAACTGCCCTGTTGATGCCCTTTCTTCCTGTTTTCTCTGTCTGCTGTCTAACCCTGTGCCTTGCCTGGGATAAGTACAATGATGAGGTTACTGGTTTGGATTGTAAGTAGAGGAATTTATTAATTGGTTTAGAGGTTCACTGCTGCTTTGTCACTTTCTCAATCAAATTGGCCATTTATTTATGAAATAAAAAGCTGGTAGAATCGCATCCTCAGATGATTGTTGACTTGTGTCTGTGTGAAAAGACATTCCAGTGCCACCCTAACATAACGTGCCCAAGAGGTCCCTGCTGCACTCTTGGAAGTGCAAGCCACGGAAACTGGTTTAGACATCACTTGGAGAATGGTTGCTTTTTGACATGGCATCTTGCACTTTAGGAGACTAAGACCGTCCAGTCTCGTCCATGTGTGGTGTGACCAATGGTGTGCCCAGAGCACTGCTCTAAAATCGCTAGTGTTATCAAGTCGTCCGGGCCATGGGCGCTCACTGTAGTCTTTGGAAGCTTTGGCTCTAGATCACCAAGCCCCAGTCTCCTTACTGTCAGTGCCCTGCTCTCCCGTCTGCCTCTTTCTGTTTCTGTGTGAACTTCCAGGTAATGTCACTCATTAAATAGTTTTTTGTAAATTTATTTAAAGAAAAAACTATTTAAAAGTAAAGGAAATTTTGTTTGTTGACAGTGGTGGCTTGATAATTCTTAAGCAACTGACGTTAAAAGTGTTGGATTGAAGGACAAGGCACTTAAAATGGTTCCTCTTTCTGTCCAGCTGTATATAAATCCAGTGTGTTAATCTAGACGATGCAAAGAAGACTCTCCTGGTAGAGAAGCAACATGGACAGAATTGGTGGGAGGGCTCTTTTGGTTTTTCCTGCGGGGTGGGGGGAGGGCAAGCTGGATTTACACGTCCTGACTGGACTGAACTGGCCTTTTTATCTTTCCACTATTATCATGTAAGTAGCTGCTTTCTTGTCCTGCCTATCCTTCCATCATCCCTAAAGCTCACTCTGAAGATGACAAAAATAAACACAAAATCTTCGGGTTAGAAGTTGATTCTGACTGACACTGACAAGCATTGATTTCATGAATGCTGCAGAGGTGGTGATTGGAGAAAACAGTTCCCCAGACTGTAAGAGTTAACGGAAGATGTTGACACAATTTTAAAAAATCAGTAAAGGAATGTATATAATATTGCTCTTGTGTTTTACAGTAAGATTTGTTGCTCTCAAAACTGTGTAAAACAAAAATTTATTCATGTTTTCTGCATATTAAAAATCTTATTGTACCAATTGGTAAACTATTAAATGCCTATAAACCTAGGTGTGATTTTTTTTTTTTTTTTTTGTCTCCTTGTACACAGCTTTAAAACTTAGGAAGTGGGACTGTGTTAAGCCGTCATAGGGTAAGACAGGTGGGTGGCAGGGCCTTGATGGAAGGCTTTTTTCCTTTAATAGTGTCAGCGCTGCCTTTGCTGTCTGCTTCCTTCTGTTTGGAGAAAGAATCCAAGAGCAGGCTTTCCGAGAACCCCTCTCCTCTCTGAGCACTCGCCCTTCCCTCCAGCAGCCCTTCCTGACCGTGTCTTTTCAGCTGTGGCCAGAAGCTGAAGCCAAGAATGACCTATTATAGCCCCTCTTAAGAAGACTTGGCTTTCTTAAGGTGATCAAGGCCCAGAGACAGTTTTGTTTTAAATTTTGGATGTGTGCCTAGAGTGTTCACCCTTGACCTAGGAAACCCCAAAGGCTTTCTCTGTGCTTTAAAGTGCTTTGTGTTATTTTAAAAATGATTTTAGAGATTGCTTTTTTTGTTCTTTATGCATTTATTGCTTGATTTTTCTTTGTATTGAATTTATAGGGGTAACACTGGTTAACAAAATTACATAGGTTTTAGTTGCACAATTCTATAATACATCATCTGTACATTGTTTAGTGTGTTCACTCCAAGTCAGTGGTGGTCTTTTGAATGTTCCCTGATCAAACCTGCAATCTTGGTGTATTGGGATGATGCTCTAACCAACTAAACATGTTGGATATCCTTTCATCCCGTCTACTGCTCAGTGCCCAGAGCGTCTAGGACACCCAAGAGGTCTCCGGGCATTTTTATGGAGAAAGGACTAGCTGAATGATGTGGGGCTCTTACAGCCCAGTTTTCCTGCCTCCTAATGGGAAGCTGGGCCAAAAGCACCGAAGTAATTTGAGGTTATCGTTCCCGGCGTTTTGCAGCTTTACCATTCCCTTGGAGGGCTTCTTCCCCTAAGCTAAGATCCAGATGATGAGCCTGACCACTTCCTGGGGGTGGA